TGGAGGGGGTAGCGAGATGCATGAGGCACGCAGAGGGGTTTCAGTCAGTGTCTGACTTCTTCCAAGTATGATTTGCATGATAAGCCCATGGATTTCCAGTAGGCATCCGGAGAGTCACGCACGTCACACAGACGTACGGCTGGAAGGGACCTCAAGAGCTCGTCAGGTCCAACATGGGATTGATTTCTCCGTGCAAAGCTGGAAAGCCCTGTCGGAGCCCGATCCAGCAGGCTGAGACCAGGTCCCACCCGGGACCCTGCAGAAGCCTCCCCTTTCTCTTTGAACTTCTGAGCCAGAAGCACCCCCTGCCCCCACGCTGCTCCGGGGCTTGGGAGAGAGCAAACCTGTTCTCAGCCCTTACTCCTTGCCAGCCAGCCACCGGCATCCACCGCAGCATACTTGTGGTGGATTAAGGTAGATGGGAACCAGTGATGAATCAGGGCAAAGGCATGTTGCAACAGGTCTCCTGCTCCTCCCTGGCTGGATGCGGGGTCTGTTGCAATGCATTTCCTCCCCACCTGAAGCTTTCACCCCCAGCCTCGCAGCTCTGTGCTCCCAGCTACCTCTGCTCGGGGGACCTGGCACATCCCGCCAGCAATAGTCCCTGCTGCCCTGTATGGCCATGCAAGGCATGCGGCCTCTGGACAGTCGGGGTCGCGTGTTATTTCCCTGCCCTGGAGGGTGGGAAGCCCGGAGCCTGCCTTTTATCCATAGATCAAAGGACCTGAAAGGTGCGGCCTTTTCAAAACTAATCTGGAATGGGCATGGGCAGATCTAGGATTTAAAAAAGGGGGTGCAGAGGCCAAGATGCATCATCATCACACATAACATGTAGTTTTCTCCAGTTAAAAATAATCAAGACTCTATAATATGATGCCAGGGACCAAGGGCTGCATCATTCCCTTTAAGGCGGAAGCCAAAACAAATGTCACCCCATTGCAACGAGTTCAAAGCAGGCTGCAGGGCTGTGACATAGGAGCTCACAGGCAGCAGCACAGTAGAGCAAAGGTTAGCCTGACTGGTGGAACATCAAGGCCCTTAAAAAAGACAAGAGGGTCGTTAGCACCTGCGGGAGGAAGAAGGGGTCAGGTGGACTTTAACGAGCTGTGAACTCGGTGGTTACTCCCCAGGGCCAGGGAAGCTCTGGAGCGCGGCCACTGGACGGTCCAGCCCAGGGCTGCTGCTCAAGCCAGGCGTCACGGGGGGCTTTCTGGAGGGGTCCTTCACTTCGGTGTCTCTGAGCTGACCTCCCCTCCCCTCGTGGCCCTACAGCCCCTGGACTCTCCCACGCCCTGCTTTAAAACGTTCTCCCCGATCCCATTAATACAGAGCTCGCACCCTGAGCTGCCTTGAGATCCTTTTGAGGGTGCTGCGGGATGCCAGGCACCCTTAGGTGTGCCAACACGATTCACAAGATAACTCAAGAGATCACAAACAGGCATGAAAACCGTTCTGCCCCGTTTGGTCTTTCTGAGGTCTTTGCAACCGCTGGTATTTTTCTGTAGGAGTGAAACTAAGAGCTGGCATTTTCGGGGAAGCAAAGTTGAGAACCGCTGATAGAAAGCAGGAAGGGGTCGACGTGTTACCCGCGGCCTCGGAGATCTGCCTGTTTATGACAAATGGACCCGACCTGCTTTCCATCACTGGATGTGACCTGAGCCGGGCCTGCTCACAACGCTTACAGTACAAACTATTGAAGACAACTGCATAGCGCAAGAGGATGGACGCTTGTGGCCGGACCGTCTGAAAAGAAATAATGAGGCGTCACTTCCAGCTGATCTTACTGTCCTTATTATGACTTTAAGCAGGCTCCTATGTCTGTGGGATGTAACTGTGAAGTATCTATCCTTGATTAATTAGCACAGCAAATATTTCTTTGCAATTAACTCACGTTTATGTGCAGGAAGAGAGATTTTCCACGTGGGCTTTGCTAGGTGTTTCCTCCTGATTTACTCTTGTTTTGCCTCAGTGGGTCCCTTGATCTCCCAAGAACGACTCCTCAAAACTTTGGGTTTTCCCAGCTGTTAATTAATGTCTTGATATGTTCCAACTTAATAGAAATGGATAACCTCTTGTTACCGAGCAAGGTCATTCAATCAGAATTGGGACTTTCTAATAACCAGTAATGAACAGTTTGATTAACGGGATTTTCCTTTTAATTGATGCTTGTGTTTCTTGATTTACACAGCTACAAGCATGCTTTGAAGATGCTGAGCTAAAGAGTATAAAAGACGAACAAAGCCGTGAACGGGGCGCGCTCCGAGGATAAGAAATCATTTTGTCAAGAATTGCTACCGCACCCAGCAGGTCTTCGGGGAGCGGATCCACGCTCGGGAAGCTGACACGACTGAGACTACCTCTTTGCCTGGACTGGTGAGATATTGCTTTTACAGCTAAATATACTGGATTTTGCTTTCGGCAAATTTAGCAGTGAATATCTGTAGTAAATAAAGCCTTCCTGTCATTCATCAAATGAGTTGTCGCGTCAGTCTTTTATACGCTAGTCCTGAATAAATCCCATTTCATCACTTAACAAGATGCAGGAAAAGCTTTTGATAGAAGGCAGAGGGGAGATGCACCTTACAGACCAACTGAACCAGACTTCTACACGGAGAAGGAGCTTTTGACGGTCAAGTGGCAGCTCTTAAAAAAAGCCTGAGATGCTTCTGCTTTCAAGAGGCACAAGTGAAGGGTGCCCACCTCACCCCTCCTCCCGGCTATGGAGCTACAACCATTTGCCTAGGGGGTCAGAAATAACCGAGGGGTTAACACAGGCCAAAAGGAACAGAAACTAGCCTTCAACACTGCTGTTACTTAACACGAACCCAATGGGTGCACTGACCAGACTACAAAAGGACGGCATACAATATGAGGAAGGGTGACTGCACCTAAAAGCTTGCTAAAAACTTTTTTCCCAGCTACTTGGTTGGTCTAATACAGGATATCACATCTACCCAAAGAACCGTGCCCAAACATGAAGTCTGGCCCGTCCGGGACTCCAGATTCACAATGAGAAGGCAGTGGGCTCTAAGTGAAAAGAGCAGGTTTAGACTGGAGATGAGGAAACACGTCTTCCCTGCTGGAGCAGGGAGGGAGTGGGGGAGACGCCGGGGAAGGGGAGACTCCCCATCACTGGAGGTGTCAAGAAGGTGGATGCTGGGTGCGGAGGATCCAGGTGCGGCAACGCCCGTGCTCTGCTGTGGGGGTTTCCCAGGCTGGACTTTGCTGTTTGCACCTATCCTCCTTCCTGCTCCATGTGTCGGGGGGGTTCAGCCTCCCACAGAGGCGCTGGGTGCTGGCTGCAGCCCGGGCTGGGCTGGGCCAATGCTCCTGCTGGCACCAACCCCGCAGGGGCCTGGCTGGGGGGTCTTGCCCGTGCACCGACGCTGCACGGGGCAGGAAGGGATTTCCCCCCTGCTCTTACTGGTGTGCACTGGGGGGGTTTGCCCTCCTCTGCAGCGGGGGCACGGCCTGGCCTGGGCTCTCTGCGGGTCCAGGCAGAGAAGGGCACAGGCAGCAAGATGCACCCCTGCTCACTCCCCTCGCACTCCCCCAGCCCCGCTCCCTGCGCTCTGCTTTCTAGAGGGGATGTGGCAGCAGTCTTCAACTACCCGAACGGCTGCCAGACTAAATCAGCCCAGTTTCCTCCACCTCGCCTCGTAAATCAGCGCCCCAGCCCCATAACCAGTATAGAAGCAGGACACTGGCTGCCGTGGCCCCCCTGCTTTCCCCGTGGTGGGGCTGGGGGTGATGTCTGTGCTGTGCCAGAGCTGGTGGTCGTTTTGCTAAGAGACTGGACAATGGATTTGTCTGGGATGGTTTGAACAAGGATGATTCTTTAACTGGGCTGATTGAGTCTGGAGAAGAGAGGACCGAGGGGGATTGAATAGCAACTTTCAACTCCCTGCAGGGGGGCTGCAAAGAGGATGGAGCTGGGCTGGTCTCAGTGGGGGCAGATGGCAGGACAAGGAGCAATGGGCTCAGGCTGCAGCAAGGGAGGTTGAGGTTGGATATTAGGAAAAACTCTGTCATGAGGAGGGTGGTGAATCACTGGAACAAATTACTCAGACCCGGTTAGACAAAGCCTTGGCTGGGATGATGTAGTTGAGGGTAGTCTTATGCCGAGTTTATGGTTGTATCAGATGGTTTGGACGGAGCTGATCCTGCCTCTGGAAGGGGCTTGGACTAGATGACCTCTGGAGATCTCTTCCAGCCCTGCTTCTCCACGACTCTATGAATTGGGGCTGGTCCTGCTTAGACTAGATGTGACCTCCCGAGCTCTCTTCCTACCTCCATGTCCTGTGATCCTGTGACTCTGCCTCAGGCAGGCAAGGGATGGGCTAGATGTGACCTCTGGAGTCTCTTCCAGCCCCACCGCTCCAGGATCCTCCGATCCATTGTACGCACAAATCCAATGCTTTGGGGCAGAGTGCCGAAAAAACCTGAAACCTCGATTTATAAGATGTTGGCATGCCGAGGAAGCCGTGCGGGGCCTGATCCTTGTTGTGGCAGCACAGCCCCGGCCCCTTCCCCGCCATCTGCCCAAGATGTGCATGCCAAGCAACATGCCTTTGCGTGCCACGCTGTGGCACCCGTGCTGGGGGTTGCCGACCCCTGGTGTAACCTATTAGCAAACACTAACAGGATACGAGCTGTGCTGGGAAAACCCCGACGGCCTTGAAACCCAGGGGCCAGACCACAGCACCGCAAAGAATCACGTCTTTGTGAACAACGTGGAATTTCCTACATTGGCACCTGGATATTTGTTTTGGCCCCTGCTAAGGCTTTTACTGAGATGCTTTCAGCACTTGGCCACCCCTCGTGTCTGGAAAGGGCCTTGCTCAACGGTGCGGACGTTTGGCGTTGTCTCCTGTTTTGCAGCGAACGGTCTCTCTGCTCCGTGCTCTTCCAGCAGCACCTGTAAAGGCAGGCGCCGCGCCTCGCCGTCCGCCGGTTCCTTTCTCAAGGCCGTGAAAAGGTTTCTGAGAAGAGTGACTCACCTTCCTCGCACAGCTTCTCCTTTTTGGGGCCAATTCCATGGACTCCAGCGTGGCGACCGCCGGGCTGGCGTGGCGCTGACGTGGCGCTTGTTCCATGTGTCGAGCCACGGGGACGAACCAGGGCTCGACCCCCACTTGGTGACAAGCGCAGCCAATGAGCTGAGCTCTTTATGGCAGCTCGTCAAAGAGCTGCTATCATCTCCCCTCCCATTACTCACCCGTGCGCCCGGCTAAGCCTACCCAGTGTCCCAGCCCCGTCCGCGGGGAACCCCCAAAGCCTCAAGGGTCCCCCTGCCGTGCCGTGCCTGATGTGCATGGGGGGAGCAAGCTCGGGTTTGAAAAAGGGGCATCATCCCGTACAGCACGCTTCTGCGGCACCCGGTTAAAAAGGAACGACGAGGAGGTGTACTAAGGGCGGCATTATTCAGCTTAAGACTGGAGCACGCGCTGTATTGCAGGCCTGAAAGCCGCCTTAGCAAAACGCTTACCATAAGCAACGTCCTTCTGCTATAACTCAAGCCACTGGTGACAAGCAACGCAAGCGGGGCCCCGTTGTGGGTGACTGTTTCATAGCCCCTGTTAGCAAGAGCATTCGAAAAGGATGTCGTTTCGGTGTCAGGCAACGGGATGCAGGCGGCAGCCTGGCAGGATGATGACTACTTTTACAGGAGATCGGTGAGTATTTATGGCCTAACCGTGCATGGGACATCCGGAAGAGTATACTTTTAAAAAAAAGTATACAAAACCTAGGAAAAAACTTCAAGTTGGTGGGAAAAGAACCAAAAACTGCTGGAAACCCAGTGCCGTGATGGACACCCGGGCAGCGGATCTCGCCCTACCCGTGGGCAGGTTTGCATAAGATTATTTGCATATGTATAACAATGGTCCGGGCTGGCTTAGAAGCTGGGTGCTGTATGCAATGGGCGCAGGCTGCAGCCAGGCAAGCTGAGGCTGGCTATCAGGAAGTACCCTTGGGCAGCGAGGAGGTGACAGCAGCGGGCACCGCGCGGGGACGAGGCCAACAAACCCAGCACCCCCATAATCTGGACGTGAGTCCCAGCCTAAGGACAGATGCAGAAGAGATGCTAATCACTATGCAATCACTATGCAAATAAGCCGTCTTCTTGGCTTCCTATTGGTCAACGCGGGTAGTCAGCCCCGCCTTCCTGGTGGGCACCGCCTGCGCTGGGCTCTGCCGCCCCCTGGCGACCGAAAGGGGAGCGACAAGGCGGGGAAGCCGGCACGTGACTCAGCTCCAGCCGGGAACCGCGCGCTGGGGGCGGGGCCGCCATGTTGCCGGAAGTGAGCGGCCCGGAAACCGGAAGTGAGCGGAGCTGGGGCCTACGGAGGCGCGGAGGTTTCGGGCTGGAAGGGGCCTCCCGCTCCGGTAGGACAGGCCGCTGCGCTCAAATAACCCGTGGCGGGGGGCGGTCCGTTCCCTGCTCCCAGGTGGGGGAGGGGCGGGGGGCTTG